GGGGGTAAGAGAGAGAGAGGGGGTAAGAGAGAGAGAGGGGTAGTAAGAGAGAGGGGGGGGGGTAAGAGAGAGAGAGGGGGAGAGAGAGAGGGGGGGTAAGAGAGAGGGGGGTAGAGAGAGAGAGGGGGTAAGAGAGAGGGGGTAAGAGAGAGAGAGGGGGTAAGAGAGAGAGGGGGGTAAGAGAGAGGGGGGGTAAGAGAGAGAGAGGGGGTAGAGAGGAGGGGGTAAGAGAGAGAGGGGGTAAGAGAGGGAGGAGAGGGGGTAAGAGAGAGGGGGGGGTAAGAGAGAGAGAGGGGGTAAGAGAGAGAGGGGGTAAGAGAGAGGGGGGTAAGAGGAGAGGGGGGGTAAGAGAGAGGGGGGTAAGAGAGAGGGGGGGTAAGCGGATGAGGAGGGGTAAGAGAGAGAGGAGGGGGTAAGAGAGAGGGGGGGTAAGAGAGAGAGGGGGTAAGCGAGAGAGGGGGTAGAAGAGAGAGGGGGGTAAGAGAGAGAGGGGGTGTAAGAGAGCGAGAGACGGGGGTAAGAGAGAGAGGGGGGTAAGAGCGAGAGGGGGGGTAAGAGAGAGAGGGGGGTAAGAGAGAGAGGGGGGTAAGAGCGAGAGGGGGGTAAGAGAGAGAGGGGGGGGTATAGAGAGAGAGGGGGTAAGAGATGAGAGGGGGGGTAAGAGAGAGAGGGGGGTAAGAGAGAGAGGGGGTAAGAGAGAGAGGGGGGGGTAAGAGAGAGAGGGGGTAAGAGGAGAGGGGGTAAGAGAGAGAGGGGGGGGGTAGACAGAGAGAGGGGGTAAGAGAGAGAGGGGGGGTAAGAGAGAGAGGGGTAAGAGAGAGAGGGGGTAAGAGAGAGAGAGGGGGTAAGAGAGAGAGGGGGTAAGAGAGAGAGGGGGGGGGGGTAGAGAGAGAGGGGGTAGAGAGAGAGGGGGGGTAAGAGAGAGAGGGGGGTAGAGAGAGAGGGGGTAAGAGAGAGGGGGGGTAAGAGAGAGAGGGGTAGAGAGAGAGGGGGGTAAGAGAGAGAGGGGGTAGAGAGAGAGGGGGGTAAGAGAGAGAGGGGGGTAGAGAGAGGGGGGTAAGAGAGAGAGGGGGTAAGAGAGAGAGGGGGTAGAGAGAGAGGGGGGTAGAGAGAGAGGGGGGTAAGAGAGAGAGGGTAGAGAGAGAGGGGGTAACAGAGAGGGGGGTGTAGAGAGAGAGGGGGGTAAGAGAGAGAGGGGGTAGAGAGAGGGGGGGGAAGATAGAGAGGGGGGGTAGAGAGAGAGGGGGTAAGAGAGAGAGAGGGGGTAAGAGAGAGGGGGGGTAGAGGAGAGGGGGGTAAGAGAGAGGGGGGTAACAGAGAGAGAGAGTAAGAGAGAGAGAGAGGGGGTAAGAGAGAGAGGGGGTAAGAGAGAGAGAGAGGGGGTAGAGGAGGGGGGTAAGAGAGAGAGAGAGGGGGGTGAGAGAGAGAGAGGGGGTAGAGAGAGAGAGAGAGGGGGGTAGGAGAGAGGGGGGGTAGAGAGAGAGGGGGAAGAGAGAGGGGGGGTAGAGAGAGAGGGGGTAGAGAGAGGAGAGAGGGGGGGTAGAGAGAGAGGGGGGTAGAGAGAGAGGGGGTAAGAGAGAGGGGGGTAGAGAGAGAGGGGGTAGAGAGAGAGGGGGGTAGAGAGGGAGAGGGGGTAGAGAGAGAGGGGTAAGAGAGAGAGGGGGTACAGAGAGGGGGGGTAGAGAGAGAGGGGGGTAAAGAGAGAGGAGGGGGTAGAGAGAGGGGGGGTAAGAGAGAGGGGGGGTAAGAGAGGAGAGAGGGGGTAAGAGAGATGAGAGGGGGTAAGAGAGAGAGGGGGGGTAAGAGAGAGAGGGGGTAAGAGAGAGAGGGGGTAACAGAGAGAGAGATTAAGCGAGAGAGAGAGGGGGTAAGAGAGAGAGGGGGTAAGACTAAGCGAGAGAGAGAGGGGGTTAAGAGAGAGAGGGGGGTAAGAGAGAGAGAGGGGGGGTAAGAGAGAGAGCGAGGGGTGTGAGAGAGAGAGAGGGGGTAAGAGAGAGAGGGGGTAAGAGAGAGCGGGGGGTAAGAGAGAGAGGGGGTAAGAGAGAGAGGGGGGTAAGAGAGAGAGGGGGTAAGAGAGAGAGGGGGGGTAAGAGCGAGAGGGGGGTAAGAGAGAGAGGGGGGTAAGACGAGAGAGGGGGTAAGAGAGAGAGGGGGTAAGGAGAGAGAGAGGGGGTAAGAGAGAGGGGGGGGTAAGAGAGAGAGGGGGTAAGAGAGAGAGGGGGTAACAGAGAGAGAGAGTAAGAGAGAGCGCGAGGGGGGGGGGTAGTAAGAGAGAGGGGGTAGAGAGAGAGGGGGTTAGAGAGAGAGGAGGGGGTAAGAGAGAGAGGGGGTAAGAGAGAGAGAGGGGGTAAGAGAGAGAGGGGGGTAAGAGAGAGAGGGGGTAAGAGAGAGAGGGGGTAAGAGAGAGGGGGGTAAGAGGAGAGAGGGGGTAGAGAGAGAGGGGGGGTAAGAGAGAGGGGGTAACAGAGAGAGGGGGTAACAGAGAGGGGGTAAGAGAGAGAGAGAGGGGGGTAGAGAGAGAGAGAGGGGGTAAGAGAGAGGGGGGTAAGAGGAGAGGGGGTAAGAGAGAGAGGGGGTAGAGAGAGAGAGAGGGGGGTAAAGAGAGAGGGGGTAACAGAGAGGGGGTAACAGAGAGGGGGTAAGAGAGAGAGAGGGGGGTAGAGAGAGAGAGAGGGGGTAAGAGAGAGGGGGGGTAAGAGAGAGAGGGGGTAGAGAGAGAGAGGGGGTAAGAGAGAGGGGGGTAGAGAGAGAGAGAGAGAGGGGTAAGAGAGAGAGTGGGGTAAGAGGCGAGAGAGAGGGGTAAGAGAGAGAGGGGGTAAGAGAGAGAGAGGGGTTTCAGCGAGAGAGAGGGGGTAAGGAGAGAGAGAGGGGGTAAGAGAGAAGAGAGGGGGTTGGTAAGAGAGAGAGCGGGGTAAGAGGCGGAGAGGGGTTAAGAGATGAGAGAGGGGTAAGAGAGAGAGGGGGTGTATATAAGGAGAGAGGGGGTAAGAGAATGAGAGGGGGTAACAGAGAGGGGTAACAGAGAGGGGGTCAGTACGAGAGGAGAGAGGGGGGTTCAAGATAGAGAGAGAGGGGGTAAGAGATGAGGAGAGGGGGTAAGAGAGGAGAGGGGGTTTAAGAGAGAGGAGAGGGGGGTTGTTCAGACGAAGAGAGAGGGGGATAAAGCGATGAGAGGGTGGGGGTAAGAGAGAGAGGGGGGGTAAGAGAGAGAGGGGTAAGAGTAAGAGAGCTAGAGGGGGTTAAGTACGAGCGAGGGGGGGTAAGAGAGAGAGGGGGTAAGAGAGAGAGGGGGTAAGAGAGAGAGCGCGAGAGAGGGTGAGAGAGAGAGAGAAAGGGTGAGAGGGTGCTGACAAACCACCAAAAAAAAAATGCCTAAACTCGACACGACGTCCACCGATCTCTCGGCAGATGTTCACTCGGCTTGCCCACGAGCCTGGCAAGGGCAGACGCATTTTGTTCCACGAATACATTTTCTCGGTAGTGACAGGGACAATGTTCCCCCCCCCCCCCTAATATAAATGTACGTACATATTTAAAAGAATGTGCGCAGAATACAGAGGGGGCCCCGTGCAACGCTTCCCATTTTTTTAAATTTTCTATTCTCTCCCAACCCAACCCTCCACTTGCCCCCCACCCGCCTCCCCCCACCTCCCCCCACCTCCCCCCACCTCCCCACCTCCCCCACCTCCCCCCACCTCCCCCCACCTCCGAACAACTAATTGTGCAATTACGGTTGTGACCATCCCGGACGGACGGTAACGCCGCTGTAATGGGGGGCCTGTGGCCTTGCTGGGCCCTTTATGGCTTAATTAGACCCGGCCGCGAGATCTCAACCCATGCTGAACGGCGGCGATTTGGTCTTTGGGATTCGATCGCAATTGTAGTTAAGGAGATATTTGCTCACGATCCAAAAAGAATAACAATAATGCTGCTGCTGCTGCTGCTGCTGATGATGATGATGGCGAGAAAGCATTTAAAGCCATCGGACCATAAAACGGTGCTCGGGAAGAAATAATAATAATATCTCGTCCGCGTGTTATTGCATCGCTAGATTAAATTACGACGTGCCGCCGCCCGCGCGATGTTTGCAGTGAGAGAGTTTTCTCTTAACGCTCGCTTAATCTCCTCGCCCCGTGAAGAAGGATCGGGGGGAATTACGTGTTTGACGTGAAAGCTCTGCGCCTAATTTGTTTCAAGGTTTTTGTTTTGTTGCCTCCGTGCTCCGTCGTGAACGCTTGAGCGCGCTTTGTGGCTTTTGCAGTCCTTTAATTCTCACTTTAACGACCACTTCCGGACGACAAAACGAACGCGGGACTTCTCCGAGGCAGAGCGCCCGTCGATGTCCGACGTTTCGATCCGCCTGTTTGCCGGCGGGTTTTTATTCGCGAGCCGAACTCGGCCCGCCCGTCGTCTTAATTCTCCGAGCGCGCCGCCGGCGTGTGCACTTAAACGGCGACGTGGTTTTGTACGCATGTACGTACAGTGAGGAAAAAAAGTATTTGATCCCCTGCTGATTTTGTACGTTTGCCCACTGACAAAGAAATGATCGGTCTGTAATTTTAATGGTAGGTTTATTTTAACAGTGAGAGACAGAATAACAACAAAAAAATCCAGAAAAACGCATGTCAAAAATGTTATAAATTGATTTGCATTTTAATGAGGGAAATAAGTATTTGACCCCTCTCAATCAGAAAGATTTCTGGCTCCCAGGTGTCTTTTATGAAGGTAACGAGCTGAGATTAGGAGCACACTCTTAAAGGGAGTGCTCCTAATCTCAGCTTGTTACCTGTATAAAAGACACCTGTTCACAGAAGCAATCAATCAATCAGATTTCAAACTCTCCACCATGGCCAAGACCAAAGAGCTTTTATTTTTCGCGCCGTACATAGCCGACCGCGCTCGTCGGAGATGCTGCGGCAATAACCGAGCGGCGTGCGTGTAACTGCTCCTCTGTCCTTTGTCTTCTCCCCCCACACCACCACCCCCCCCTTCCTCCGCAGGGCCTGTACATCAAGTCGACGTACGATGGGCTCCACGTCATCACGGGCACCATGGAGAACGTGAGTGATCCCACGTGTGTGTTAGCCTCGTGGGCCACGTTAGTGACGATGATGTGTGGTGGAAAATCACCGAGCGTGATGACGGTGCTGATGACGATGATGCCGGTGGGTGGTGGTGGTGGTGATGGTGATGACTGCGGCTGACTGATGAGACGAAGTGAACGGAACCTGAACGCAGAGGCAGGCTGGGAGATCATTCGGCAGCGTTGTTCAGAGACAGCGGTGCGCAGAGGAAGACCAACAGTGTCAATGGCTGTGTGTATCCGTGTGTGGGGGGGAACGGTAGTGCAGCGGTTTAACGAGCTGCGCTACGAACCCGGCTACCCGTCTCCCGCTTATAGCCACAAACCTGAACCGGTCCTGGACCTCCCCTAGGTCGACTCAGCCTCAAATGAGTACCTGGTGCGGTGTGTAAACATTCGCCACTGCGGAGACAAAGGTGGCTGGGCGTAGTGCCAGCAACCCACCCCCTCGTGTGCCCTGCCAGCCTTCATAGGTGCTACTTGTTAACAGCACTTACCCCAACAGTCTGTTAAGGCTCTTGGAAGGAGGAGGGGGATCTTTGTCTTGGGAGACAGCCTCTCAGGGGAGTCTGGTTGCACAGGTGGCATGTGGCCATACTCGTTTCACCACCTCCAGGGAAACTTAAGCAGCATCAGCAGAGGTCAGAGTTAATAAATAATTGGATTTCACACCCCACCACCCACCCATACTCCGCTGCCGTGCTGAAGCAAGGCTCGCGTTGCTTTAAACCCGACACGGCCTGCCAGTCACGGCGCCGTCGACCGCCACCTTTATCGTTCGACGGCGGCGGCGGCGGCGGCGAGCGTTTCCCTCTTGAGCGAGGCTCGTATTTCACCGTCTCTCTCTCTCTTGCTCGCTCGCGTTGCCGGGGTTGCTCAGCGTGGCTCTCTGCACGAGAATCGCGTGCGTGCGTGCGTCCACCGAACTGCCGCCGATTCATTAATTCCGAAGCCGTCGCACAGTCGACGCGGTCACGGTGGCGGTTGAGGAACCGTCTTTTATCTTGCCATGTGCAAGGCCCCATTGCTGAGCTGCGTGAGCTCTCCTTTTTTTTAGCAGAAGCGACCTGGCCACACGGGATGATGGCTCGACGAAGTGGCTTATCGTCGCGCGGACATTTATAGCAGCCGATAATCTCAAACGCGTGACGTTGATTCTAATTGCGGAGGGAGAAACCCGGACGAACCCGGAGCAAAATCTACGCGGCCACGGAGGGGGAAAACACGCAAACCCCAAATATACAGCAGCAGGCGTCAGGGTCAGGATCGAACCCACGATCTCCTGCATACCAGGCGAGGTAGTTAACATCTCGCCCGCGATGGTGAACGTGCATATTCCACCGCCGGTGGCCCTGGCGGTGTAAATCGCGTCGGTAATGGCGAGCGAAGCGAAACGGGTTGGCGGTGTTAATGATCGAGGCGGGCGCGGTTCAGTCTCGACATGGAGAGAGACGCGAGGCCTCTTCCCCCACTCGGTGCGTCGCGCAGATGGCACGGTTTGGAAAATTGGGGACTGAAAATTAAGGGGGGACCGGTGCAGCAGGATTACTACACAAGCAGGGTGACGACGGGAGGGGGGGGGGTAAGAGTAAGTGGGGGAGGGATAGATGGAGGGAAGTGCAGATCAGTGGAGGGAGTCGAGGATGGGGAGGCCATTGGGAGGTAAGGAGAGATACAGGCAAGGTAGGGAAGCAGGGAGGTGAAGATTGAGTGAAGGGAGGGAGAGATGGAGGTAGCGAGCGAGTGGTGAAAGGGAGGGACGGAAGGAGATGGTGAGAGATGGAGGGAGGAGGTAGGGAAGAGATGGAGAGGGGTGAAGATTGAAGGGATGAAGAGGGAGCGCGAGTGGAAGGAAGGAGGGATGAAAGGAGGTGGTGAGAGATGGAAGGGCGGTGAAGACTGAGTGAAGGGAGTGAAAGATAAGAATGCAGAGAGACAGCGAGCGGAAGGGGGGAGGGAGAGGCAAGGTGGGAGGGCGGCGGCTCCACTTCACGCCGAATACCAATGGCGACCGCTCTCGCCCCTAACAAGCTCGTAACGCGCAAATAAATAAAGCGCGATGGCAAACATTGGCTCGGCGATATCACGCTGCTTACGGAATCCTAAACACCTGCCACCTCCTCCGCAGCCACCGCCTGCCCGCCTCCGAGCCATATTTATGGGCGGTCGTTATTTTAACAGATGCCGTGTTCCCGGGCGGATTAGGGCGAGCGATGGAGGGGCCCACGGCACGATGGTTAGCGCCGTGGAGCCCGACCGACCGCACGCACGTGGCGGCGGCGGTGGTGGCGGCGCGCCGTGGCGTTAAATTCGCGCGTTTCGCTCCCACCCCCGCCCTCCCGCCCCCGCCCGTCTCTGCGCCCTTTTCGCCGGGGCTGGGTCGTTAAGCCGAAAAAAGGCGATAATGCTTCTTACTTACGGCCCATTACTCGCTCAAAATGCGTGCGGATGAGAGGGAGGAAGAGGGAAATAATAGGAATATGAGCAGCACGTTCTATTTTTTTTCAGGTGGGGGGGAGGGCTTGCGGTAAAGATGTTTCCGCAGCATGAATAGTTTAATGGAGGTCACTGTTGCTTCTGGCACGTCTGCTCCCCCGATTGTCTGGAGCTTCCCACCGCCGCCACCACCCAGCCGCCCGTGCTGTTGGCTCCCTGCCCCTGTTCAAATCTAGGTTCCAGACTGTATCGCGTTGCTCGTGACTGCGGGACCGCCTCCCTCCGTGTGTGAAAATACGCTCGCTGTTTCTGTCGAGCTGTCAAGGGATGCGGCTGCTATTTAGACGGACATCGTGATGTAAATCCGCATCATTTTATTGTATAGACCCATAGACTCGCAAGGAGATCCATAGACTCACACGGAGATGCATAGACTCACACGGAGATCTATAGACTCACGCGGAAACCCATAGACTCACACGGAGACCCATAGACTCACGCGGAAACCCATAGACTAATGCGGAGACCCATATACTCACACGGAGACCCAGAGACTCACACGGAGACCCATAGACTCGCACGGAGACCCAGAGACTCACACGGAGACCCATAGACTCACGCGGAAACCCATAGACTAATGCGGAGACCCATATACTCACACGGAGACCCAGAGACTCACACGGAGACCCATAGACTCGCACGGTGACCCATAGACTCACACGGAGACCCAGAGACTCACACGGAGACCCATAGACTCACACGGAGACCAATAGACTCAAACGGAGACCCATAGACTCACAGAGACCCATAGACTCACATTGAGACCCATAGACTCATGCGGAAACCCATAGACTCACACGGAGACCCAGAGACTCACACTGAGACCCATAGACTAATGCGGAGACCCATATACTCACACGGAGACCAGACTCACACTGAGACCCAGAGACTCACACTGAGACCCATAGACTCACACGGAGACCCATAGACTCACGCGGAAACCCATAGACTCACACGGTGACCCATATACTCACACGGAGACCCATAGACTCACACGGAGACCCATAGACTCACGCGGAAACCCATAGACTCACACGGAGACCCATAGACTCACACCGTGACCCATAGACTCACACAGAGACCCATAGACTCACGCGGAAACCCATAGACTCACACAGTAACCCATAGACTCACACGGAGACCCATAGACTCACGCGGAAACCCATAGACTCACACGGAGACCCAGAGACTCACACAGTGATCCATAGACTCACGCGGAAACCCATAGACTAACACGGAGACCCATAGGCTCACATATGGAGACCCATCTCGTGCTGGCATCATGGTCAGAAATTTGCGACAATTAATAAATTAAACTAAACTATTTAAAGCTAGAATCCATATTTTTTTTATTTTACCAGGTAAGGCCCACTGAGCTATATAGCTCTTTTTCAGAAGGATCCTGGCCACAAATGACAGCTCAATTAATTAGCTCATCATCATGTGGCAATTTATGGCAACCAAATTCTCTAAACGCATCTTGATTCTAAATGTGGAGGGAAAAACCGTGAGACCCGGAGAAAAATCCACGCGACCACGGGGAGAGAGAGAGACACGCAAACTCCAAATATGCAGGCGTCAGGGTCAGGATCGAGCCCCTGACCTCCTGTAAAGCAGGCAAAGGTGGCTAACATCTCGCTACTGTGGCACCTTCAAATCGCTCAACTGGCATTCCACGCAGCAGCAGCAATCACAGCCACCTCCTGCAAAAACTTGGCAGCACCCACCCGAAGACAAGACTTGAGACTCCGCGAGGCTTTCCCCCGCAGGGTAAACAAGCAGAATTAAACGTAATAATTGTTGTAACTTTTTTTGTTCACGCATTCCTGAATCGATTTCTTGAATCCGAACTCGTTTTGGAGCACATCGGTGGAAAGTTTTTGCTGAAATCATTTCCATCCCTGGCTCTCGCCACTTCCCCAAGCAGCCGGTCCGCCTCTCCCGCTCCGCCAAATGGCACGCCAGGCGAGGCGGGAGTGTAGGCAGGGCGCTATTGTTAGACGCGGGCCGTGGGATGATTTTGCTCAGGTTTTTTTTTTATTTTGATCTCGCGGATAATGCGTCTGTGCGGGCACACGCGATAACAATAAACAAAACACCCGCTCAACAAATCACTCCATAGTCATACCCCTAACCCCCCTTTTTAAAACGTGCCATCGTCATGGACTCAACAATTCATCGGTACCCCCCCCCCCCACCCCATCGTCGACACAGCAGCGTTCCTCTCCGGATCAGCAGGACAGATAGCTTCTCTGTAACTCCGTCTGTCGCTGTGGCGGCACTGGCTCTGAAAGACCTGCGCCACTTGTCTCTTTAAACACAGAGGGCCCGCTTGTTCCTCCGTGTGTGTCGTCATCCCCCCCCCCCTATTGCTCCACAAGGGCCCTAGGGCGGGGGGGACATCGTGGGGGGAAGTGTGAGTGGGAGTGGGGTGGGTGGTTATCGTATCGCGCACGAGATAGGCCTTTCACCGTGCGTCTGCCACATCCACGTGCAGAAGGGGTTTCATTGTCCGCCGATATATTGCCCGAGACGTTGAAAACACGGCGCTGGTGGGGGTGCGCGAGGAAAGGTCGCGGGGTCGTGGGGGTCGGGTCACCTACCTGCGCTTTGCGTCTGACCTCTCGCCTTTTGGGGGGGGGGGGGGGGGTTCTCACACACAACCAGAAAACACCTCGGGGGGGGGGAAAGGGAGCGGGGTGGTGTGGACTGCAAATGAGCCTCCACTACAGCCAGACTCCGAATACGTCAGCTCGGAGGGCACGCACCGGGCTTGCGAGCCTGCGAGCGCCGAGATTTTTGGATGCGAGGGTTGACGGGGGAAAACCGGTGGACCCGGAGAAAAAACCCACACGACCGCAGGGAGAGAGACACACAAACTCCAAATACACAGCAGGCGTCAGGGTCAGGATTGCACCCACGACCTCTTGCATACCAGGCGAGGTAGTTAACATCTCCTAGCCACCAATGGCGCGCTCCCTATGACTGAGCGTGGAAGGAGTGCTCCCGCCTGCCAGCAGCGGCGTGAGCGAGAAGTTGCAGCGGTGTCTGCGCCTCCATGTTGAGAAACGCAGCTTCTGCCCACGTGGTGCGGTCGCCTGGCCCCAAAAAACGCGACGAATAAACAGAACGGAGGGTTTAGTTGGTGGTGGTGGTGGGGGGGTGGGGGGTGGAGATGGTGACGACCTTCGTCCAACAGTGGATAGATCATGGATGCTGCTGTGGATGTTGATGATGATGATGACTTGCAGGTGCTGAGCGGCAGCTGATGTAACAGCTCGTGGAGGAGTGGGGCTTGAGGGGTGGAAGTGTTGGTCGGGGCGGTTATACGATCCCCACGGCAGCTGTGGCTTGCCTGCGCGTGCGTGGGATGGAGGTTTTGTGTGCACGGGTATCTCGTGGTGGTGGTGGCTGGGCTGGGTGGGGGTGTGGGGGTAAGTCTTGGGGCAGCCCCCGAGGATGTTAGGCAGCTGGATTAATTGTTGTGTCGATCAGATGAGTAATCATCATCATCACCGCCTATATAGTTATCCAGGCAAACATCCTCGTCAGCATGTTATAAATAATTTTTATATCATCAGCAGCAGCAGTGTCATCACTGCTCTTCTGGAATCTTGTGCGTTGTCTCCACCGTTACCGAAGTCGTTCTTTATTGTTAATTTTTTAAAGTAAAAAATCGTCGTCTTCTGTCATCTTCACCACGCGGCCTTCCTGATTTGCGAGCAGCCGCTCGCTCTGCCGCCGAGCCCAGCCGGCCGCCTGTTGCAATTTGTTTTGTTTCTTTAAAGCCGAAACCTGACTTTCCGCCCATCCCTCTCCCTCCCTCCCACAGTCCCCTGCCGATCGTTGCAAGAAAATTCATGCGGGCGATGAAGTCATCCAAGTGAACGGACAGACGGTGGTACGTCATAGCCACCCCCGACACCGCGCGCTCGCTCACTCGCTCGCTCGCTGGAACAGGAACTTTGTAATGTTACAACAAAAACAGATGCGATCAGCGTCCACTGCAATCGCCCGCTGACGCCCACCGCTGGCTGGAACAGGGAGGCCCTCCACTCGACAAGCGGGAGAAAGAGCGAGCTTGAGAGAGAGGGTATTTGGTCTTCTCTTCCACTAAGCGTGGCGCCCCATCCCACTAGAGAGGGCGCTCTCACTCTCCTCACTCTCAAGTGGGGGGGGGAGTCCTTCCGGCAGCAGCGGGCGTCAGCGAGAAGTTGCAGGGGGTCGCCGTTCAGCCGACGCAAGCGAGGGATGCAATGGCGTGTGCCGTGCCCTCCCCGCGTGCCCTCATCGCGTGCCCTCCCAGCGTGTAAAATTGGCTTTCATCTCGGGCCTGTCCTTCTCTCGCACTCCTCTCCCAATTGTTTCCCCCGCCCCCCTCCCCGCTCCCCCCTATTAATTGACGGCGATGAATGCCAGCCTCGGGTAACTCCCCCCCCCCCCCCCATTCATCATCAATACGGCGGGCGGGGAGGGGGGGGAGGGGGGGGAGGGGCGCATTCCGAACAGTCGCCGCTGACGCCACGCGACCCAAGTTACTGGGAAGCAAAACGCCGAATGCGCGAGAATCAAAGTCACCGCGTCCCTGCACTCCTCACCCCCCCGCTCGCCCCCCTCCCCCCGCTCGCCCCCTGCGCTCCCCTCCCCCCGCACCCACCCGGCCGACTGCTCATCCCCACGGAGGGAGGCTTGGAGCCACAGCGATGGAAATTCCACATTTCTCACGGCTGGGGGGTGCACGCGGGATGGTCGGTCCATAACACCATAAAACAACCATGTGTGGACTCCCCCCCCCCCCGCTAATGCGAGCGTTGTGTTACTGTGTTTGAAAGGAAGAACAAAAGCCTGTCTCGAGGTTTGAACTCGCAACTTCGCGATTGCGAACCAGCCGAGCTGGGCTTGTTTTAAGTGTGAATGTGAAGATTTTTTGAGACTGTAAAAGGCCCACGGCACGTTTTGCGTGGCCCATTGTTCTCCAACGCAGCAGAATGCAAATGACGACTTTGGAAGTTCACCGCCAATCTCTGCAAGCCGTCGCCATCCCTCGCAGCGCACGCATCCATCGAGCTCCCTCCCCCACGCAACGAGCCGATCTCTGGGTGCTCCATCTGCGCGGCGGGTGTGATCTCTCTCTCTCTCGGGGGAGAGTGTCCATTCCCTCCTTTTGGCCACCACTTACGCGTCACGAACGGCCTGCAAGCCCTGCTGGTTGCTAGTCGCGGTGCGTCCTGCCCCCCACCCACCGCCTCCGGGGCCGTGCACTTTCCTTTTCCTTGACGGTGGAGACGGCGGTGCCTCGAGCCGGCGGTCCGCTCTCCGATCCGCGTGTTTCTGAGTTTAATTCGTCTCGCGCCGGTTGTTGATTTCGCAAGCGCATCCAGCGGCGCCGGCGGATAAATTGAATTAGCGGCCGCGGAGTGGATGGGACCGCCAGGCGCGGTGCGCGATGCCCCATCGCCACGCAGCTCCGCTAATTGATAGTGGCGACGTTAATTGGCGGGACGACTTTTGCGCCGCGTCAAAGAGCGGCGCAGGGATTAATTCGCCGGCGCGCGATGGGCCACCGTGGGCGGCGGTGACGGCTCGTCACGCTCGGCGGTGGTCACGTGATGGGTCCATTGATGGTGGCGGTGACGATGCGGTGGTCACGTGACGGGCCCATTGATGGTGGTGGTGGTGACGATGCGGTGGTGATGAGCTGTTACCGGTGGTGGCGATGGGCCGTCGCAGGCAGTGGCATCAGCTGCCGTCACCTCCTTCCGTATGTTCTTCCAGTGATGAAGCTCCTTCACCCACTGGTCGTTTTGCTCTCCCCGTTTTGCGCTCCCATGTGCCCCTCCAGAATTTTGCATCGAACGGCGAGGGTCCCTTGCCTGTAAGATGGGCGGTTCACCAGCATTGACTCAAGTCTTACTCTACCCATGAGACATTGCATGTCGAGACATTGCATGTCGAAACGGGTGCAGAGTTTGCTTGTCTGCAAACAATGCTACCAAAAATGATGCACTCCCAGAAGGCCGTGCGGCTGATAGTTTGCGTAACAATTTTTTTTTTATACGTGGAGACACGGATATGCGAAGGACACATATCGCCCGCTTAGTTTTGCTATTTATAACCGCGGCAATGACGCTCATGGTCATTTTGATGTGACAAACAGGGTGATCCATTCATCGATACTTCACTGAGATATCAGTGTGACATCAGCTGACTCGGCGTTGGGTGTTTGCAAGCAGATCAGACTGGCTGTGATTTAATAAGGGCGGCGGGGGGGGGGGGGGGTCGAGACTGGTTGGGACACGCGCAGTGGCTTGGAATTGAAACGTCGCTTTCCCTGTAATTTATAACCGATGGGGTGGCTCAGCGGTAGAGCGAGGGGATCGCAGCCGGACGGTTGTGAGTTCAGATCCTGGTTTTGGGGCCACCCCAGGGGGTCGATAAAATATGCACCGATTTGGCGGGAAGAGCACTTGTCCCATGGATAGACTTGCCCTTTGCCATGCGAACGTGGAACTTCCGCCGCTGGCTCAGGGCTGTAAATAGGGGGTGAGCGCCAATGCCTGGATGCTCATTTGAGCGGTAGGTAATCACCTTCAAAGATGATTTTCTCCCTACGATTCTGGTTGGGCACCTGTCAAATGCGTGGTGGTGCCGATCACCCACCCCCTCGTGTGCCGCGCCGGCCTTCACAGGGTGCCGCTCGCTACTAAAACGGCACTTGCCCCGACAGAGCGTTCGAGGCTCGACGGCCAATCTTTATCAGCTTTGGTGAGTAAATCTTCCGTGTGGTTTAGTGGAAGAGACATTTGTTCAATTTTTTTTTTTACTTCCAATCTGTTTCTGCTTGGGCACCCATGGCTGAGTATGGTTGAGTTACGTTCAGTCCAGGGCCAGCAGTCCGTCAGAGTGCTTCTGCAACTCCATAGTTATGTGGCACCACCTCGCACTTGTTTTATTGCCTCTGCTATGTGTGAGAGTACGTGTGTACGTACTCTGTGTGTGTGTGTGTGAGATGGAGGGGAGCGGTAGTGTAGCGGTTAGCGCCCAGCGCCTCCCGCTCACAGCCAACACCGGTGACGACTCGGCCTCAAATGAGTACCTAGTGCGGTGTGTAAACATCACTGCTGGGGAGACAAAGGCGGCCGGGCGTGGTGCTGACCACCCACCCCCTCGCGCGCCGTGCCGCACTTAATAGCTGCTCGCTAACAGCACTTGCCCCAACAGTGCGCGAAGGCTATCCGGGGGACCTTTGCCTTTGTGGCGTTCGGAGTAATTGCACCATTCTGTCGCCAGGTGGAGGAGATGCGAGGTGGGCTCCGAGTGGGCGAGTGGGTGGGGGTGGAGCGACGTCACGGAAATAGAGTCGGCGTGGAAATCAATGAGCTCACTCACTGGTGCAGAGGGAATGTGGTTGGTTGGTGGTGGTGGTTGGTGGCAGTGGTGGTGGTGGTGGGAATGTGGTGGTGGGAAAGGGTCAATTGGGGTGTTGGGCGGTAACGTGATCTTTCTGCTGCCCCCCCCTGCCCCACACTCCCTCCTGCGTCTGTACATCCACACAAGGACAAAGAACACCACCTACCCCCCCCTTGTATAAGCCTCACACAAATCGTTCGAGCACGTGCTGTGAGCGAGCACCTATTAATGCTGGCGGTGGTGTGGCCACCACACCGTGCCCGTTTGGTTGCCTCGTTCACACACCAATGCACATCTTTGCACATCGCTCCGGGTACTTATTTAAGGCTGAGTTGACCCAGCCGAGGCCTGGCACCCGTTCCGACGTGGCTTGCCACTGGTGTTGGCTTAGCCGTGGCCGGGAATCAAAGTCGCGTTGCTACCGCTCTACGCGCTGATACACAAAGACAAAGATCCCCCGTATATCCTTAACAGACTGTTGGGGCAAGTGCTGTGAGGGGCCAGGCACGGCACATTTAGGGGGTGGGTGGCTAGCACCACGCCAGGACCGCCTTTGTCTCCCCCGGTGGGGATGTTTTTAGATACCACAGCCAGCTACTCATTTGAGGTCGAGTCGACCTAGGGAAGGCCCAGGGCCGGTTCAGATAATCGTCACTGGTTTTGGCTGTGAACACGAATAGAACTCGTGTCACCAGGTTCGTAGCGCAGCGACGCAAACCACTACACAACCGCTCGCCAGAGCACCATGCCCGTACACACACACACATTTCTAGATACCCAATCAGAATCGTAGGGCGAAATTATCTTTCCAAGTGACTCAGCCTGTACACTGACGCATGCTCACACAAGCACGTCTTTATCATCAAACCCAACCACAAACTCACTCACCCAACCACCCACGTGTACTCTACTAGCATACAAAGGCAAAGACACCCCCCCCCCATCCGCCACTATAGCCCACAAAGGCTCTTGGGGCAAGTGCTGTTAGCGATCGACTGTGGATGCCGGGACGACATCAGATCCCTTCATTGTGCTGCGGCTGACGCGTCCTTCGGGGGCTGCTCCCGCTGCCTCCTCTCTCTACCTTCTGTCGATAGAGTGCTCGCCCGTGTCGAGACGGAAGAGAAAACAAATCGAGGGGACGAAAGGGAGTCGTGTTTCACAAAGAACAGCCCCAAGGCAGCGTGGCCATGACGATTGAGAGAGAGGGGGGGGGGGGTACCACAACCGGCAGGTCCCCTGTGGTAGGGTAAAGTGTGGGCACTCCCGACTCTTTCCGAGACCTAAAACTTGACTACTTTTAAATCCTTTATATTAAGTTCACTTGCTTGCTTGCTTGCGCGCTTACGACCGTGCAAATCTTTCGGTGGTTTTTTAACCCACTTCCCGTGATCCAATCAAGCTGACATTTTGCACACAGACTCGTTGTGCGTGACAATTTATTTTCGTGAAAAAATGTTCCAAAATTTTACACTTTTTAGGAAAAAGTAAATTATATTTAATAACCAATTGCTTAATGGTGGCAGGCAATCATCTGAGCCAATAGGTGGCAGCCATCTCAAGCCAGAGGACGAGAGGACTCTAGCCGCCACGCATATAAAGGATTACGGGTTAATTTTTTACATTGCCATGTAAGGCCCACGTAGCTATGCAGCTCTTTAGTAAGTAGCGGCCTGACCCATAACTGATAGCTCAGCGACGTGGCTTACCACGTGGGAATTTGTAGCAGCCAAATGCTCTCTAGACGCACGTTGATTCTAAACGTGGAAGGAAAAAATCGGAGGAGAGAAATCCACACGACCACGCGGAGAGAGACATGCAAACTCTAAATATACAGCAGCAGGCGTTGGGCTCGAACCCACGACCTCCTGCATACCAGGCAAGGTAGTTAACATCTCGCCACAGTGATGATGAGAGAGAGACATGCAAACTCTAAATATACAGCAGCAGGCGTCAGGCTCGAACCCACGATCTCCTGCATACCAGGCGAGGTAGTTAACATCTCGCCACAGTGATGATGAGAGAGAGACATGCAAACTCTAAATATACAGCAGCAGGCGTCAGGCTCGAACCCACGATCTCCTGCATACCAGGCGAGGTAGTTAACATCTAGCCACAGTGATGATGAGAGAGAGGCATGCAAACTCCAAATATACAGCAGCAGGCGTCAGGCTCGAACCAACGACCTCCTGCATACCAGGCGAGGTAGTTAACATTTCCTAGCCACTATGACGCCCCCTACGAGCAAGCGTGGAAGGAGGCGATCCCAAACAACCCCCCACTCGAGAGTTCCATCAGCCATCAGCTGCGTGAGCAAGCAGTTGCAGGGGCTGCGCCGCGATGTTTTGGAACGCGGTTTCTGCCGACGGTGGTGCGGGTCGCCCGATGGCCGTCGCCTGGCGCAAACCGCGCCGGCTCAAAAGCATGACGAATAAACACGTGGTGGGGGACAGGTGGGGGGCGGGACATGTGGAGACGGAGCCGCAAAATCGGCTCGCGTGCAGCTGCCGAGATGGATCGGTTCGGTCAAGGTCGCCTTGATCCAACGGTGGAGAGGTCACGGGCGATGTTGGTCGACGATGACGACGCGCACGGCGTGCCCCGTGATTGCGACGGGGCGCGCATGATGAAGCGCGGCGCTTTGTGAACGTAGCGAATTAGATCAGCCGTGGAAGGAACCCAGCGGGAATTGTTTTTATCGTGAAACAAAAAAAAACAAGTAAAAAGTCTGGGAAGCCGTGTTATTTTACACCCCCCCCCCCCTACTCTTTATCCCATAATCCTTCAGGGGGCTAAGATCAAAGGTTCTGTGGGGGGGGGGGGGGGGGGGGGGGGAGCAGCATTGGAGCTTGAGAGTTTTGCATTGTAGAATGTCTCCTGTTCGCCCCCCCCTCGCCGCCCCCCCTCGCCCCCCCCCCCTCTCCCCCCCCCCTCTCCCCCATTGCCCCCTCTCCCCCATTGCCCCCTCTCCCCCATTACCCCCTCTCCCCCATTACTCCCTCTCCCCCATTGCCCCCTCTCCCCCATTGCCCCTCTCCCCCATTGCCCCCTCTCCCCCATTGCCCCCTCTCCCCCATTGCCCCCTCTCCCCCATTGCCCCCTCTCCCCCATTACCCCCTCTCCCCCATTGCCCCCTCTCCCCCATTACCCCCTCTCCCCCATTGCCCCCTCTCCCCCATTGCCCCCTCTCCCCCATTACCCCCTCTCCCCCATTGCCCCCTCTCCCCCATTGCCCCCTCTCCAGTCTAGTATCACGGTGGTGTGACTCGGCCTAATCCTGTAGCTCTGAACCTTTTTTGCTTTTAGTGTTTTAGAATAAATACGTAAAAAATTGAGGCCACCCATCCTGCCCACCCTGTCTCCAGCTCCCAGTCAAGATCTCCGACGCTTAAAAAAATCGTGTTTGACGTGCGTGATTGCTCGCCCCGCGCTCCTCACGAGTGGTAACACTCAGCCTCTTAGCGCGCAGTTGACAATTCAATTCCCATCGGAGCAACTTTGTAAATCACGCGGAGTCGGACGCCAAAGTGATTTCCCGTCGCTCAAATGAGAATTGAAGCGGCGTTGCTCGTCTCTCGTTCACGGCCTCTGCAGAAGCCATCGATGGAAATTCCGCATTGCACTGGACAGCAACCACTGTTGACTTGCCCACAAAGTGGTGCCTGTTTTATCGACCCCGATTGGAGGGATGATGATGATGGGCTGAGTCGACTTTCCACTACTCCTTCCCCCGCGCCATCCAGCCAGACCAGGAGTTGAACTCGCGACCTTCCGGTTGCGAGCCGCTCACTCCACTGCCACCGAGGCACACGACCGATATCAAATAAATATACGGTTATTATGTTAAGAATAAATAAATAAAAACACCCAGCTTGGCACGTTTACAATTCCACCAGACAAACGGGAGCCAGAGGGGTGGGGGAGAGAACACAACAATATATAAATCTAACAAGTAAAACTACCCAAATAACATCGCCCTCTTTCCGAGCCAACGGAAGGAGGGCCAATTTGCGCGTAATTGAAATCACTCATCCGTAATAGCTGGCGATTAACGAGCTGTTATAATAATACGCCGGCGTGCATCCGAAGGCGGTTATTTACGCACGACGAACGGTCGGGGATGAACGTCAGGGCACGGGTGCGGCAGTCGGACGCTGCCGGCGGATTGACTATAACGGGGCCTCGCTGTCACGATACAATCGCAGCCGTGGAGGAGGAGGAGGTGGCGGTGGCGGTGGTAGTTGATGGGGTAGGCTGGTTGTTTTGTGCTTCCGTTGGTGGAATGTTTTAAGCGTAATTATTCGTCGCAGCTGGAAGTTCCTAGTTGAAGAGTGGGTGGCGGGGGGTAAAGATAGATGCGGAGGGGGAAGTCGCAGAGTAAAGAGTTTTTGCTGCAGGGTCTCCCGGCGTCGCCGCTGTCTGTCGGCGTATTAATCAGGAAAATTGTGATCTGCCCCATAAAAAATAATACAAATTTTTTTCAGTAGTTTTTTTTTTCACGTGCACTCTCTCTTAATACGGGCAGCTAATAATTTGCAGTGTTTTCCACAATAAAGCGTGGTCGTAAATCGTGTTTACACGGACCCCGCTAATAGGCACGATAAAGTATCCCGTTACTGTTTTTCTTATATTTTTTATTGCCAGTTTTCCCACAGTTCCCCCTCCGCCTCCCTCCCACCACGACCCTGCCCCCTGCCCCGCCGAGAGAAGTGGTGTCTGGCTGAAGAGTGGTGGATGAGATGGAGGTGGCGGGGGGGAGGGGGAGGACGCTGTTGGGGGTGGGGGGGAGGCGAAAAGCTCTGGCCAGTTGGAGACGATGCCGATATGCACCCGCTCGAAACACACAATTTTAACCGCGAACTAAAACCCAAGCTGCCTCGCAGGTTCGGCGAGTCAATGGCCTCGGCCCCCGGTAGTTACAGCCAGCGTCAACCGGTCGATTGCAGGAACTGTGAAAATCTCCTCCACTCTTGCCCCCCCCCCCCCCCCCCAGAGGTGTCCACCAGACCTCGCACACATCACACACCTCCTATTCATTGCCCAAAGACCGGAGGAGAAATGTCGCGCACAATCGTCAAACGGTGTTGTGGATTTCTCTCCCAACACTGCCGGCGGAGTGCGTGTCGAAACAAGAATGCGTCGGCGCGACGTTTGCCCACCTTGTGCTGTGCGAGGCGGAGGAGAGGGTACGCGACACGACATTGGGTCGTGAAAGGCCGCGCGTTTTAAATTCCGCAGATGTCACCACGTCGTCCGCGATCTCCCCCTCCGACAGATCCACGCCTCGATGCCACGTTTTTACGCTCACCCTCCTCCCTCTCTCGTTTCGACCTCCGACCCTTCCCTCCCCAGGTGGGTTGGCAGCTGCGGAACCTGGTGAACGCGCTGCGCCACGACCCCAGCGGAGTGACCATCACGCTCAAGAAGAGGCCGCAGTGCACTCTCAACTCGGACCCTGCGCCACTCAAGAACATGCGCTGGAAGCCGCTGGCGCTGCAGGTGGGGAGGGGCAAGGAGAGCGAGCGGCGAGCCCCCTCGAGCGCGATTGGATGAATTGTCATGATTTCTAGGGTTCATGGTTAGCAATCGTGGTTTTGGACCATGTTCTCTTTTGGGGTGTCACGAATCGTGACGTGGCGAATCGTCGCGATCCGGGGTTAACGTCCCGTCAAAGGAATGGCGACTGTCGGAGCAAGAAAGTGAGTTTGTAAACTCCGGCAAGTGGAGTGCAACGTCTTCCCCATAAAGGAATTGGACGGACATCCCAGGAGGTAAAGGCGCAGTCCTGCAATTGCTTGCTCGTGCCACTGCTGGCAGAAGGGCATCCGCCAGATGGGGCTCCAGACAGGCGATTTGGCTGACGACTCCATGCCGGGAGGCATGAGTGGTAGCACCCACACGTTACCCCACCACCACCACCACCACGTGGCTTGCTGATCCATTAATCCTTTCCCGTTCCGAGACGTCTGCATGTTGCAGGGTGGGGCTCCCATTCACTACGGTTAGGGCGAGCGCCATTATATTTAAAGATATTGTACTCACCGCAGAGAACTGCAGCGACACGACCGCAATCTACGATAGCCGGCGCCAAACTGTGCCACACGCCCTCCCGCATGGCCTTGTGGGAGTCTCGGTACTGATAAAAGTTGTTTAATTTAAATGTTTCTTCCGGTTTCGGAATGGAATCGGAAGAAAAACTGATGACGTACATTAAAGTACGTCATCGATACGGGAAAGGGTTGACTTGGGATGGACAGAGGTGGTTGGGGGGAGTGGGGGATGGGGGCAAATTTGAGAAGCTGGTTCCGTTGTTTCAGCTGCCGCTCCAGGAGATGGAATCGAACTGGCGACCTCTGTATTGGCAATGCCGGTGTGCTGCTCACCACCACACAACCGTGGCAATGTCGGGCAAATAAATAATTGGCGTTATTTATTTTCTATAATTAGTTGGCTCGTGTGTTAGAAAACAAAGATTAAGATGCAACTGTTGGCACGCAGTCGCCTTGGTGTTGGTCTGCCCCGAACTAACAACGGGATTAAAAATGTTTGTTTTAAAACCTCGTCTCTTTAATTACAACTCCACGCCTTGCGGAGGGGTGGACGGAGAGCATTGGAATGATTGCTTCGCACCCAGGCAATCCGCACGGACGGGGGGGGTGGGGTAAACGTGGGTAACCTTACATAGCAGTGGAGTTCTGTCGGCCAAACTCCAGGCCAATCCCTGGATGGAGCCACAATCCCAGAGCAGCGAGCAGCATCGCTAATTGCGATTGGCTTGTTGGCGGGGGGGGGGCAGGGGGGGTGCATAGCGGATCCAAAGCGCCTATGGTTGTGAGCACGCTGTCCCACGCGTATCGGATGAATTACGCACCACCACGGCTATTGTTTGGGTTCCGTCCCCCCCCCCTCCATCCACCGCCCCCCCTCCATCCACCGCCCCCCCCTCCTCCCTCACCCCAAGAGAGCGGATGCCTTAATTAGGCCGTTATTCCTCTAAGTATATGTTTGGCTGAACAACGATCGCAGTGCGGAGCACAGTGGTGTAATGAATAGTTGATTAAAGGTCAAAATTATAATTATTATGAATCGCGTAACGTGACAATAGCTTATTTGTTATTTAGGCAAGGCGTATGCAAATCATATGCCATGTTGTTACTCCCGGGCTCATTATTCATTGCACAGAGAGAGAGGATCATACGAGACAGACAAGACGCACTGAACACGTTCGTCATTAACACTACGTGTGGCCTTAGCAGGGTAATACATTTATTATAGGCAACGTTTCGGGCAATGGCCCTTCTTAATAGCACACGAATTGAACGTAAATCTTGATTTATGTGCTTCTGATGTAGAAGGGCCATGATGATGCTGCTGCTGCTACGACTGATACTGCTGATGATGATGATGCTGCGGATGCTGCTGATGATGATGATGCTGCTGATGATCATACTGCGGATGCTGCTGATGTTGATGATGCTGCAGATGCTGCTGATGATGATGATGCTGCTGATGATTATGATGTTGCTACTGATGATGATGATGCTGCTGATGATTATGATGCTGCTACTGATGATGATTCTGCTGAATGATTATGTTGCTGCTACTGATGATGCCGCTGCTACTGATAATGATGATGTTGCTGCGGATGCTGATGATGATGATTATGATGCTACTACTGATGATGATGCTGCTGCCTGGTGATGATGATAACCCTCCCCCATCTCTTCCACCCCAACCCCCACCCCCCAGGGTCTGGCGGGCGTGAGTCCCGTGCACAACCCATGCTCCCCGGTGAGGGTCGTCGAAACGCCCTCCAAGCGACCCAAGTCGGCCCTCCTCAACCTCTTCATCCCCCCTCCCCCCAACGAGCCGTACACGCCACGGTGAGACTGCTCACGGACACACAAAGCTCCGCAAGGGATCCGTTAGCGGACGTTTGGGACAAGTGGTGTTTGCGAATAGCGAGCTATTAGTAGCACCTCCTGTGATGGCTTTAGGACTTGTTTTTGTGTTTGGTTTTGTTGTCCATCCCCCGCACCTCCGATTAGCTCGGTCGGCTGCGAACGGTGCGAACTTAGCTCAACACGCAGTACGCTCATACCACCATCACCGTCATCATCATCATCACAAAGTGGTTGTTGTTGTTGTGGTTGTTTTGTTGTTGTCGGCCTATAATTTCCCTCCTGTCCCTCGTTAACCCTTGAAATCTTCGATTACGTTACCGCTGCCATCGCCTTCACTCTCAAGCGCCGTATAACAACATTCGCGAGGCGCGTTTCATCGGATAAACGCCGCAAATCATCTAAAAAAATATCTTCTCATTTTCGTTTCTCCGCCTCTCTATCGCCAGCGACCGCGAGGCGAAGCCCGAGCAGTGCGGCCCGGCGCCGCTTGCGGCCGGGGTGGAGGCCCTGTCGCTGGCGCGTCGCAGCGAGTCGCCCAACTCGTGCCTCGACCAGCAGTACCGCAAGCGCCTGGTGCGCGTCGCCGACGGGGGACGCACCCTGCTGCCCTGCTACCACGGCAACGGCGAGCTCGGCCAATCGGCCGCCGGCAGGGGCGGCGGAGGCCCGGGATCGGAGCGCCGGCCGCGTCCCTCGTCTTACGGTGAGACCACCCCGGGGGGAGAGGTCAGGGGTCACGGAGAGAACAGTGCTGGCCAGTCGTGTGACGGTTGCGTAATATTCATATCGGTGCTGTGATTGGACAGCTCGGGGTGGGTCATTAGCAGCAGGGCAGCCAACCCTGGTGAGTTCCTTCCAGTGCTCACCTGAGATGGGAGATGCCGACCTTTAGATTGTCTTATTATTTAACGAAAAATCATCATCGGCGTCCTAGAGGAGAAGGAGCATGGTGACAAGTAATGAAATTAAGCAGCCAGGAATTACGCCCCCTTTTCCTTACCTATCAACTATCACATATGTTTGTTTTGAATAATTTGTACGAGTAATGTTTTTTATTTTACACCCCATTGGTCACACAGCCTTCTGGGAGTGACTTTACAACGGCGCCTGGTGTCATACTAAGCCAGGGGTCGGCAACCAAAATAACAAGAAGAGCCATTTCTTTCCAATTCGGTACAAAATTCAGTATTTCAAGAGCCGCAATGCATCTGAGTACATACTGTACATACGTACATATCGTCAAGAAGCAGCCCGTAAAGAGCCGCATGCGGCTCCGGAGCCGTAGGTTGCCGACCCCTGTACTAAGCAAACACTGGACTGGCTTCGACATTCACGTGTCTCATCGGCAGGTTCAGTCTCGGCGAGACCAATGATCGTTTACTGTTGGACGTGAATAGGCAAGGACGCCCAGAAAAGCCTCAAAAGATCCATGTTTTTTAGGATGGGTTTGGATCCCAAATTAGTCACTTTTGGGGTATTTGTATCTCGACAGTCGTGGGGTCAGACATCGTGAGCTTGCAGCTTGCAAATCAGAAGGGCTCTTCCGAGTTCAAATCCAGGTTGTGGGTTGACTCAAACCCATCATGCCTCGTCATCCCTCCGGGGTCGATAAAGTGAGTTCTGCTCTGTGGGTGAAGTTAAAACACCAAGTCTTTGTCCTCAGGAGATACTCACCCCGCCCACCATAGGAATGTGGAATTTCCACCACTGGCTTCTTTGCAGGGCTGTAAACGGGAGATGCACGTCAAATGCCTCAATGCTCATTCGACGAGGACATCACTCTCGTCCTGTCTTACGCTGTGTGTCAAATCAAATACGTTCCGGTCTGACTCAACCCAAAACAATATATATATTTAACAAAAAGCCCATCAACCGATTTGTCATTCCACAGCAACGTTATCAACACCGTCCAGCATCTCGCAAATTCGTCGTTGGCATCCGTGCGGCACCCGGAGCCAGCCGAGTTTTCCCACGCGTGTGAAATATTAACGAGAGGAGAGCTCTCGGTGGATTTGATGTTATTTCGTGGCGGAGAAGTGCTCCAGGAAAGCCCCCCGGCTGTCGTTCCGAGAGAGAGCTGTGTCTGTCCCAGGCTTGCAATGTCCCTGGGTGTGAGGGGTGCGCGTGGGTGGGGGGGTGGTGGTGTCGTTTCTTGTGGAGACCCCCCCCCCCCCCCCCACCGTGAGGACTTCAAGAGAAGTGGGGAAGTGGAAACGACTTGTAGGTGACAGGGCCACGAGAGCAAACGGAGGCTTTTATTGGCGTTTGTTGTGGAATTAAAACGCGGTTGGCTCCGGGAGTAGACACTTGGGGCAGGCCCCACTGAGTCTCGTATTCTTCAGCTGCGGTCAATCCAGGACACCCCACCCCCGTCACCCCCAAGTCGTCGCCATCTCTCACGATCCTGCGATGTCATAAAATCCAGCGAGCACCTGCGCCACCACGTGATGTTTTTGATAGCTCCATCTCCCAAGCGCTGGACTTCCTGTCGGACACGCTTTCATTGCTTGGTCGACACTCCATTGTTGTTTTTGTTATTGGCCTGACCGTCGGCCATCGTCGTACAATCTAGTCGTCACGTCTCCTCCCCATGCTCCAATTGTATTTTTCTTTTCAATTAATTATCTGCTGCTGCTGCTGCTGCATTGGCAGTGGTGTGGTGTACAGGCATCGAACCGGGACACGTTTGGCTAAGGATCGATTCTTAGGCTTGCGACGGCATGCTTTGGATCGCACAGGTCGGATCGCACGGGTTTTGTATTCGAGACGTTTTGCAGCTGGCTTCGGTAATAGCTTGGGAACAATAGAGTCACGGAGACACTTCGACCCAGCCGCCTCCGATTTAAGCCGATAATAATATGAAGATTACTTGGCGGTGATGCCTGTTGCTGCTGCTGCTGCATTGGCAGCGGTGCGCACGAGAACAATTAAAATCACAACAAAATACCCAACACGTTCGTCAATAACAACACTGTGGCCATAAATATAAGCAAATGTATAAAATGTGACACTTCAGACAATGGGCCGTCTTCACAGCACGTACACGAACACGGGGGATACGTTCATCCAGACGACACGATGGTTGGGTCAGCGATGAGACATACGATTACTATTTATTTTTATTTTACCAGTTAAGGCCCACTGAGCTATCTAGATATATTTCAGAAGCGACACCTGGCCACAAATTAGCCAAATAACCTCAACGCACGTTTCCACATGTGAAGGGAAAAAACCGAAGGACCCGGTGAAAAAATCCACGCGACCACGGGGAGAGAGACATGCAAACTCCAAATATACAGCAGGTGTCAGGGTCGACATCTAGGTGACAAATTTGGACCATGACGCCCTGCACACAATGGCCTGCTCTAGCGAACGACCTCACGAGTTGGTGTGGCCCCACTCTGCCCGCTGGGCGTGAGGCCTCCAACCTTGGCAGCACTCTACAGGCAGCTTCGACGGCCAGGTTTGACGAGAGGATGAGAGGTCCCAGGCCCAAAACCGTGAGTGGAGAGTTTGGTTCCAAGGCCTCTTTGTTTCCTGAATGTTTCCACGTTCTTTTTCTGCAGCTCACGGGTGGCTTTGAGACCAAACCTCCACTCCGGGGAGGGGGGAGGAGAAGGTTGGCATCAGTGGACCTCTCCAATCCTCTTGTCAAGCCTGTGGGTCGAACAGCCTGTTGGTCACGCTGACCCTGGAGGTCGCTAGCAAGAGCAGGCCATTGTGTTTGTGCTAGGTCGGCGGCTCAAATTTTGCCAAATAAAACCAATAATTACACCGCAGATTACTCGCACACCCCTGCTGCGAAAATTGGCAGAACACGTGGTGATAATGATGATAATAATAATTTTACAAATATCATCACCATCATCACCAGCAGCAGCTATGGATAAAATATGAACAGCGTTCGTCCCCGAATGAAAATGAAAACCAAATTAAGAGAGATCTGGCAGGTTTATGGCTGATGCCGATTCTGGAGGTCCCGTCGGGAATTGAATTACAAAAACAAAAGGCAGCGTAATGAGACGGTGACGACGGAGCGTTGCTCACAAGCCTCGGAGTGGCAGAGTGGGCTCGTGCGTGCGCGTGCGTGTGCGTGCCCGCCCGCCCGCCCTCCCGCACGCGTGCGCTCGCGCTTTGTTTGTTTTGATTCGTGAAACATGGACGGACGTCAGGAAGAGGACAGCCACGATTTATTTTTTCCACCCTTCCGGCCTCCCCCATCGCACCGCACGCACGCACGCGTTAAAAACACAAAACCCCATTATATTTTGGGAAGTACACTTAATGCCAGCGTGATTAAAGTGTGTCTGCTGAGATGAGATTTTGCTGCCCCCCCCCCTCCTTCCCAACCCTCCCCCCCCCCCCCGTGTTTGTAAGAGGTGGGAGGATTCTGATTCTTCCAGTGGCTTGTGGCCACCACCGCCGTACCTCCAAATCGCATTCTCGATCTCTCCTCCCCCCACCTCCCAGTGACCTTTGTGTGTTAACCGGTGCCTGATGGCTCGGCGATCAGAAGGTTTTCCCCGAGTTCAATTCCTCGTTGGGGTGGGGTGGTGGATAACCGAGAGGGGAGGGGGGAGGGCGTCGATTCTGCCCATCTTCCTCTCTCATCATCCCTTGGGGTCGGTGACTTTAATGAGCACCAACTTTGTGGGCGAGTCGACCACCACAGTCGTTGTAGAGTACACAGTGCGACTCATGATATGGTGATGCGGCTGCCGAGTTGTCAGTGGGTGCACAGGGACAGACAGGATGTGGCGTGCCGACCCAGACGGGGGGACGCCCTGCGGAGGTTAAGCTCCAATTTTTACGCTGATCCTCTGGCGGGACGGGCAGTCCACGCGGCTCCCGTGTCGTGCCAGGCCCGCGCGGTGATTAGCGCGATTAAACGGAATTCCTAATCGGACGATCGGCCTTGCACGGCCGTAATTAGCAGGTCTAGTGGATCCTCATCACCTTCAGCATCATCTTCATCATCGTTGCCATGACCGCTAGCCGCCTTGTGAAATGTTACCATTCCGTTTAGCTGACCCACTCCCCCACCTTCGTTTGTCGCCAAGCCAAAGTGAGCTCACGATTTTTGCGGTTGCGACGACGGTCACCGTCAACCGCTATCGATCCGCTGCCGGATGAAGGCCTTGCCGAGCCATCGCCAAACCCCTCGCGGCCGGTTGAGCGACGTGACGATCCAATCCAGCTCCTGCGCGTGAGCCAATGCGGTCGTCGCTCCATCTCCTCGGTAGCAGACGTCCATCCTCACGTGGATGAAGGCCCCCAATCCGCACGTTCACGAGGTGCGACGATCCGCATCACGTGATCAAATGCAGTCATCGCGGACGTGCCCGCGGTTGCGTTGCTCCCTCCTCGAGCTGTCGCTGGCGAAGTCAGCCTCGACCGCCGGCCATCGTCCCTCACATCCGGTACGACGACGACGCCTCCGGCCGCCGGGGGAGGGCCCCCCTTTCCTTGCGGCAAACTCAACGCCGGCGCGGAGCGAGAGGGCGCGCGCAGACACGGATCCGAAGGTGGTAACGATTCCACGGCCAGTCGATGGAAAAATCATCGCTCCCCAGTGAGAGATGCCGAATTGTAAACTGGGGTCGGAAAAAAACACGGAAAAAAAACTCGTACCGGCGATGGCAAAATGGGAAGGCGACGCGGGAGCCCTGAATGAAGGTCGGATCGATTTGGGAAAAGCGTCGG